TACCTACATATGTGTAAACCTGTAAATGAACATTTGTGTGTATATATGTCTAAATATTCATGTGTGTGCTCTTGTTTTATCTCATTGTATTTGTTCCAACTTATGGTGACCCTGTATGGGGTTTCTGAGAGCCACTGCTGGTTTGAACTGCTGCCCTTTTAGTTACCAGGCCAGTACTCATATATGCAGATGCCACACCAGGGCATATATATATACACATGGATATACACGCACATATGGAGCTCTGATGGTGCCATTGTTAAGTGCTCAGCTGCTAACTGAAAAGTTAACAGCTTGAACTCACTCAGTTGTTCTGCAGTAGAAAAGATTTGACGATCTACTCCAACAAATCTCACAGCCTGTAACCTATGATATAGTTCTCTTCTGTAATACAGGGTTGCTATGAGATGAAATTAACACAGGGGCACACAACAGTATGCACTCATATATATGCTGCAAGGGCAGCAGTTCAAAACTACCAGCTATTCTGTGGGAGAAAGTTGAGAATTTCTGCTCCTGTAAAGATTTACAGCCTCAGAAACCCTGTACAGGGTCACTATGAGTCGGAACCCACTCCACGGCACATAACCAACCAAATATGTATATAGAGAGATGTTATTGCTAGGTGTTGTCAAGTCAGTTCTGACTTATAAAGCCCCCCATATACAACAGAAGGAAACTCAGACTGGTCCTGTATCACCCGCATAATTGTCTTGTTTGAGCCCATTGTTGCTGTCACTGCATCAACCCTCTTATTGGTGCTTTCCTCTTATTCATAACCCTCCACTTTAACCACAAGTAGACAATTCAAACCTATCAGCTGCTCCTCGGAAACCCTATGTTGTTGTTATTAAGTACCATCAAGTCAGTCAGACTCACTGTGACCTTGCATAGGGTTTCCAAGGAGCAGCTAGTGAGTTTGAACAGCTGACCTTGTGGTTCAAATCAACCGTATGTGGTTTATCCTACAGTTCCACACTGGGATTCCTACACAGGGTTATCGGGAATTGGAACTGACCTGATGATATTGAACAACAATAACAACCACTTTTCCAAGTCTGATATCCTTCTCTAGGGACTGGTTCCTCCTTACAATATGTCCATACATAGAGATGTCATTGGTCAGTGTCGTCAAGTCGATTTCAACCCATAGAGACCCTGTATAGGGTTTTTGAGGAGAAGCTGGTGAGCTTGAACTACTGAACTTGCATTTCACACAGTTTTGCAGTCTGGTGCATTAACCCACAGAACCACACCAGGACTCCATACATAGATATACATATTTCATAATATATACATGTATATATAACACATTGTTGGTTTTGCTCTAACATGTCATTGAGTCAATGATAGCAACCATATACAAAGTTTCCGAGGAACAACTGGTAGGTGTGAATCTCTGACTTGCAGTTAACAGTACACTGCTTATCCTACAGAGCTGTACACTATGACGCCATAAAACACATAGTAATATATATGTATATATATAAAGAGAGAGAGAGAGAAAGAGAAAGAGAAACATATTGTTGACTCTATAGAAACTGCAAAAATAAATTTATTTTCTGCCTACATCAGAGGACAATTTGAAGGCTGAAGTGGTATATCAATTTAAATTAAGGAAACTCCTATAATAAAATGTGGAGTACTGGTATGGCACTGTGGGATAATGTCCTGAACCATAAGGTTGGTCTGAACTGCAAGGTTCGTGGTTCAGATTCACCAGCCACTCCTCGAAAACCCTATACAGGGTCGCTGTGAGTCAGGATAAACTCCACGGCCCTTAACAACAACAAAATAATAATTTTAAAAAATTCTTTCTTCTTTAATGCCAACCCTACTTATTACCTACAGAAATATCTCTGAAGGTAGATTTTCCTCCATTTCTGATGCCTGGAATGCAGTTTCCTTCCCCAAACAAATCAATATTATGATTCCCTTTGCACCCTTCAAAACACAATTCAACTACACAAAAATTTACCTTGTGATATGCATTTCCTTATTTGATGAAAATATTGCTATTCTAAGTATATGCTTAAGTTGTCTGATTTTTTGTTTTGTTTTACAATACATTTTCTATTATAAAACCACTGCATTTACATTAGCTTTGTTTGTATCAATGACTGCATGAAAGTACTATGCCTGTTTTAGTCAGGGACCTTCTGAGTGACGTGTAAGTGGTTTCTCATCTTTGACTCTCATGGGAAGGATCACAGTCAATATCTTTGTGTGTGTATCTTCAGGAAACTGATCAATGGCTGACACAGTTGTAACAGTATATTGTTGTTGTTATGTGCCATTGATTTGCTTACAATGCGTAGCGACCCTGTATAGGGTTTCCAAGCGACAGCTGGTGAGTTTGAATCGCTGACCTTGCAGTTCAAACAGCTTTGCAACCTGGCACATTAACACAGAGTGCCACACCAGGACTCCCTGTAATAGTCTTAATGGAAAAAAATACTCCTTTGAGATTGTACTCTTCTAAACTCCTGCAAAGAATGTAAGAGCTTGATGAATTTCTGCACCATTGCTAGTACTATATATTCATTGACATTTAACCAAGTTTTGTTTTTTTAATTGATGTGATAGGTGAAAAGGTATCTAGTTGAAATTTTAATTTTAATATCTATAAATATTATGAAATCAAACATTGTTTTCCTTTGTTTAATTCTTAAGATTGAAAAGTCTCTTAAAATTGATTCTTTTGCTGATTACTCATTTGTGTTGGTGTTTTTAAAAAGACAGATTGATAAATCTATTTATTTGAAAAATTACATCTGCAGTGTCTTATACATATATTTGACCAGTTTGGCACTTATTATATTTTTGGCCATTTAATTTCTAAGAAGTAAATGTAATAATGTACATAAAACAATTTGTTGAGTTACTGGCATTTGTTGCAGTTATTGTTGAGCATTATTTAGTTGGTTGTATTTCATATTATTCTTATGTATTGTTGTTGTTGTTAAACACCTTTGACTCAGTTAGGACCAATATGGGCCCTGTATAGGGTTCCCAAGGAACAGCTGGTGAGGTTGAACTACTGACCTTGCAGTTAAAATGGACTTTGCAGTCCAGAAAATCAACCCACAACACCAAGCCAGGACAGAATAAAATGTTACCCATCCCTGTACCATAGTCCCTGTTGGTGCTAACCTTCAGCCTACTGTAGTCACCACTTTGTCAGTCCATCTCACTGAGGGTCTTCCTCTTTTTTGCTGACCCTCTACTTTATCAAACATTTGGTCCATCTCCAGGGTTTAGTCCCACATGTTAGCATGGTCAGGTAAATGAGATGATATCTTGTCATCTTTGATTCTAAGGAGCATTGCCTCCTGTAGAGATTTACAGCCTCAGAATCCCTATTACAGCATCACTGTGAGTCAGAACCGACTTGATGGCACACAACAGCATCAGTAAGTAGTCCATGACAAATGTATTAATTCTACTGCTAGTCCATGATATACTTAGTTTTCTTCAACAACACCATAATCCAAATGTACCAATATTTTTTCAATCTATCTTATTGTTTGTTCAGATTGTATATTTATATGAGACATTTAAAAATACCCACGGCTTGGGTCAGGCATGTACTGAAGCATATCTTTAGTTATAAATATTAGTTTCCTTTTACTTATAATTTT